CTGTGTAGGTAAGGTGAGCATCGCTAGCGCAGTGTCGTCCGGTAGCCACCCGAAGTGATTCGTCTTTGAAGTCCCAAGAGTAGGACAGCTAAATCCGCGTGCGGTAACACCGTCCAGGAGTGGAGGTTAGCTGTAGGTGACAGATAACGGAACCGGTGCACTTAGCCGTCAGACAGGGCGCAGTTGTCGTTGGAGACCTGCCTTTTTTGTCGGTGCGGCTATAGCTGATGTCCTGCCATGCTGACCGAACGGGGTGCCGCAGTCGTTGTTGGGTTGCCATTCCGTCGGAAGTAGGTGTGGCCGTAGTTAGAGCACGCCTTGTCGCCGGAGGTAGGTGCAGTTGTCGTTGGAGGCATAGCGTTGTTGGATACAATCAATGCGGCCGCCGTTGCAGGTAGTGTCTGGCCGTCGGAGGAGAATGTTGCCGTGGTTAGAGACCTGCCTTGCCATCCGACCTAGGTGCATTCATAGCTAGAGGTCTTCCTTGCCGTCCGAGGTGAGTGCACCGCTGTTGGATTGCTTTGCCGCCCGAGGCGGATGCGGCTTTAGTTGTAACCAGCCCTGCAGTCCGGGGAAGGTGCAGCTGTCGCTGTTGGCTTTCTTTTCTTGAAGGTGCAGCGTGTCCTGTCGTCCGAAGTAGTGCAGCCGTCTTGCTGGCTTATGTGCCGTCGGCGGGAAGGGAAACCGTAACTGGAGGCCTGCTTCGCCGTCAGAAGTGGGTGCAGCCGTCGCAGCTGCCTTTCTGTCTGCCAGAGTTCCATAAGTGGTGGCTCGCTTATCTGTCAGGTGTGTTCGGCTATAGTTGATGCACTTGATGGCTTGCCTTTCCGTTCGAGGAAGGCGCCGTCGTTGGTGGGCATGCTTGACGTCGGAGGAGGTTGCCGACGTTCCCAGGAGGCCTGACTGCCGTCGGAGGTAACCGCAGCTAAAATTGGAGGCCTCGTAAGACGTCCGAGGAAGGTGTGACCGCAGTTGGGTGTCTGCTTGCAGTCGGAGGTAGGCGAAGCCAGAGTTGGTGGCTTGGTATGCGTCCCGAGGAAGGTGAAAACCAAAGCTATGGGTCTGCTTGCCATAAAATGTGGGCGAAGCCGGATTTGGTGGCCTGGTATGCCGTCCGTCTAACTGCCGCTAGGTGTCTGCCCGCCGTCGTACGTAGACGCAGCTTTACCTGCAGCCGTCAGTAGAGGCCTACTTGCCGTCAGAGGAGGGCGTCGCTGTCTCTAGGGGGCTTGTCTGCCGTGCGAGGAAGATGCAGCCGTCATTGGTGGGCCAATGAGCCTACTTAAAGTCGGAGGAGGGCGCCGCCGCTGGAAGGGGGCTTGCTTGCCGTCGGAGGTAGGCGCAGCCGAAGTTTGTGGCCTGGTTTGCCGTCCGAAGAAGGTACAACCTCCGCTGGGGGTCTGCTTGCCGTCGGAGGTAGGCGCAGCCGAAGTTGGTGGCCTGGTTTGCCGTCCGAAGAAGGTACAACCTCCGCTGGGGTCTGCTTGCCGTCGGAGGTAGGCGCAGCCGAAGTTGGTGGCCTGGTTTGCCGTCCGAAGAAGGTACAACCTCCGCTGGGGGTCTGCTTGCCGTCGGAGGTAGGCGCAGCCGAAGTTGGTGGCCTGGTTTGCCGTCCGAAGAAGGTACAACCTCCGCTGGGGGTCTGCTTGCCGTCGGAGGTAGGCGCAGCCGAAGTTGGTGGCCTGGTTTGCCGTCCGAAGAAGGTACAACCTCCGCTGGGGTCTGCTTGCCGTCGGAGGTAGGCGCAGCCGAAGTTGGTGGCCTGGTTTGCCGTCCGAAGAAGGTACAACCTCCGCTGGGGGTCTGCTTGCCGTCGGAGGTAGGCGCAGCCGAAGTTGGTGGCCTGGTTTGCCGTCCGAGGAAGATGCAACCGCCGCTGGGGGTCTGCTTGCCGTCGGAGGTAGGCGCAGCCGAAGCTGGTGGGCTGGTATGCCGTCTGAGGAAAGTGCAACCGTTGGTGCAGTGTCTGCTTGCCGTCGGAGGAGAGCGCCCCCGTTGCTAGGGGGCCTGTCTGTCGCCCGAGAAAGGTGCGGCCGCCGTTGATGGTCTGCTTGCCGGTCTGTTGAAATGGTCTGTTGAAATGGGAGCTGCCATTAGTAGGGGGCCTACCTTTCCGTCCGAGGATGGGGCAGTTCGCGTGAGTGCCTAGCTTTCCGTCGGAAGTGTTCCCCGCCGTTGGAAGGTGGCTGTCGTTGCCGGTGGAAGAGCGGCCGTAGTCGGGGTCTTGCTTTGCTGTACGAAGGAGACGCAGCCGTAGCTGAAGACCTGTGTTGTCGGCAAAATTAAGTGCAGCTGTTGTCGATGGCTTGGCTGACGTCGTGGGTACGTGCGAGTCGCGACCGTTGTTGGAGGCCTGCCCTGCCGTCCAATGAAGGGCTCGAGGCGAAAGTGGTGCAGTTTTCATTTATGGCCTGTCTTCCCGTTAGGCCCAGCACGGCAGCTGATAGACCGATCTCGTCGTTGGACGCAGTCTCTGCTGTAAGAAGGGAAATCTGTGTTTCTTGCATAATTGATGACGGCTGTAATTTGTCCGTTGAGCAGTGGTTGATCTTGTCCGCTTTTCCCTTCGCACTGATGTTTCTCTGTATGGGCGCTTAACGAGTGAGTGGCGTTCAAAGCTGAGTGTGAGCTATTCGCTTGGCCCTTAGGATGTAGTGCGGATTTGGAAGACGCATAAAAAGCTAATCTGAAATTTTCTGGTGAGGATATAGCAGTTGCCGATGGTGACAGTCTGGCAGACCCTAGATAGCGATAAACGAGGAGCTGAGCCATCGCACGGATAGCAGCTGGATAACAGCTGTTGTAGATGCGCGGAATACGGTGCGCGGAACGGCTCAAAATTCCGAAATCCAAGATGCAGATCAAGGAAGATGAAGATCTCGGTTCCAAGAGAGGATAAAAGAACATAGATCACTCGCGCGCACACGATATCGAAGGAGCAAAGACAGACAGCAATGAGAACTGCAGAACCATCCAATGCGAGCACACGAACACTGAACAGTGTCAAGTGCAAAACAGCGTGCCCGTGCATGACGGCGGCCGCTTTGATCTAAGCGCCACGGCGACGCGCAGCGCCACCAATCGACTCACGTAACTCGCACACACGGCGAAAGGAGAGAGAGCGGGAGCGCATGTCCTCCAGCTAACATTAACATCAATTTACTCGTTAATTGTCATTTAAAGCGTGGAATACGTTTAAACAGTGATTCGAGTTGTACGGGATTGCACAACTTACCATAAATGGAAGTTCGGCACACATTGAGTCGTATTATCGCACTAGTAACGCTTTGGAGCTGGACAACTGTTTATCGACAGAATAACGCTAGGCTGAAATTATTCATGGACAGAAAATTGCTGCTTGTAGCGCTTTGCTTGGCTTGCTTGTCCTCCTTAAATTTCGCTTGAGTCTCATGCTCTTATCACTGTACAGCTTAATTAATTACGATAAGCCACTAACGTACATTTACAAGGACCGTGAACTTCACGGTATGTGGATCTAAAAGCCGAATTATGCTCCGAAAGTGCTATGAATGGATAAAAGGTAATGCACACATTAATTATTGAATTCAACGTCAGAATCAACGAAAACACCTTGGCCAGTGTGCTTGGTTGGCTCAGAAATGATTGGGGACGTGTTATGCTCGCAACAAAAATCTACCATAAGACATACTCAGCTCATAATCTGCTCGGTACTCCACAGTAACCTTTCCATTGCCGGCACCAGACAAAAGCTTGTTCTATTACAGTTGCTGTTGATGTTTTTTAAGTACTGTAGCATCGCTGTAGTCACAGTGTACTGTTTGGCGATCGCGTTACTTACTGACCTGTTAAACTTTCACGTTGATTTACTGGAAGGCACAAGCGACGCCGTACGGTTCCAGCGAGCGATCACCCACGAAAGTACATCAAGCACATTCATATATGTATATGGTAACCAGTTTGTTGAACCGTTTAGTAAAATCAATGCGTTTGCGAATGGATTCAAAACATTCATGAAAATGCCTGATACGTTGTTTTTTTTTCACCCATGATACAGCATGCGAACGCTGCAACCAGTGCATAAGTTGAGGTGATGACTTTTAACTAGTGCTCCGTAAATTTTGTAATGCGAAGTGGGAAGTTCTTCGGAAGTTTGCTTTCGTTCATCAAACTTATGTCCTGGTACTTGTATACCGCAAAAATATTATGTTTGGTTTGATAAATGATAAATTGCGACGTTCATGGCAAAGTCAGCAGTAATTATGGATATCTATTGTTTTACGGTGTAGCTACCACTGCGAATACCAGTACCAGTGCCACTACTGCTGCCAACGTTAGTAACACAACGATTACCACTACCAGTGTGTGTAGGTTGGGACATTACCATTTCCACTGCCAGTACCACTGCCAGTAGCATTAACCTGAGTTGCCCAGTTTTTCGAGCTTAATTTGAATTTATCCATTTAAAGTGCAATCACAATTTGACGTTTAGCGGGCTCTTTGGGATGTACATAGCACTAAAATAAAAACTGGTCGTCATAGACTCACAGTGTACGTACGTACTATTGGAAAATTCCACACCTCAGCGAAATAATTATAATAATTATTAGTAGATTTCTAGTCGTTAATTTTGTACAGATTTATAGTAGGTTTTAAAGTAATTGCTGTCTACCATAATTATTATGACGCTGACAGTACTGCAACTTTACCGATATTGTTGGCATTGGAAATTTTGAACTTGGTTTTCTTACATACCGGCCAACGCTGTATTTTACTACTCGAGCTGACCATTTGCGAAAATAAATATTGGTGCGTAGGCTTGTACCGATAATAGAAGTTTGTATTGTACAGAGTACACTCACACTGTGCTTCAGCATGTCGTATATGTGGTTTTCTCCACTGCGGTTCTTACGCGTGCTTGAAGTAATGCTCTTGTTAAGATTCCTTTTGATATACAAGCCGTAAGTTACAAGAATCACTGGAAGACATGGTTATCGGTTACAGTACGAGTATTATCTGCTAATTTTCCGATTTCAGAAGCAATCTGCATGTAGCACGACAAAGCGGGAAAACACGTTTTTGTGGGACCAAGGTTGCAAACATTATGGAAAGCCAGGGCGCGAGCTCCTATCCTCTAAATGACCCATGATTCATGAGGTCAGTGCTATAACAGTTATTTTCGTCCAACTCGGAGAAACAACAATCACAATACTCTCCCTTGTCCACATTACACACTGCATTCCCCGCGTGGCTTTTGCAGTTTCTTTTCCATGGCGCTCTAGTGGTAGTTGTCGTAGTGGGTGTGGTGGAGGGTGTGGTAGGAGCGTCTATTATAAAAGAGCGCCGCCGTTTTTACGAGTTTTGATTCAGTACTTCGAAGTAATATTTCATAAAATAAAACAACAATATAAAAATATTTCATAAAATAAAATGAAACAACAAAAAATAATACTATTTTAACTGGCATATTCTTTCTGATAATGCTCTGGCGCCTCAACTGCAACACTGCGGGCAAGTGCTTGACTTACATTTGTTAGCCTGGTAGCCCTGGTCAATGAGATCCGACAGCTGGGTATGCTGGACACAGTCGTGACATGTTTCATTGCGGTCGAGGCATCGTTTCACAGACTCCAAAGCGTCCGAGTAGGGAAACATAGGCACTGGTACCAGATTGTACCACATGTCCGACATAGAGTGGTCAACGTGTCTACGTATGACTTCCGCCATGCTTCCGAAGCTGGCTTTAAACAAACAAGTTGGATAGATAACCAGCAGAAGAAGGTCTTTGAACTCAGACTTCAGGCATGACCCGATCACCAAAAGCGGATCGTCGTTTCTCGGAAACAACATGCAGTAGTTCATTCCTATAATTAAAAAGGGCCCTCACTGGTTGCAACTGCAAAGCTGTAGCATTGAAAATTCGAATGGCAAGAACGAGTACTTCCGAATGTTGTGAAGACAGAGCACTGTAATACAAAAAAATGGAGAACCCAGTTGAAATTTTTTGCCGCATTGTATGTTTCAAACAGAGATGCGCAATCAGTAAAATATGGAACCAAGTTGCAGACCATAAAAAGAAAAGCACAAAAAGCAATTTGAATTGAACTAAAGCTAACTCACATACATACTGTATAATCATAGCTAATAATTATACATAATGCGCTATGCCGTAATCGTGACGTTGCTGTGTGAGCTGACGAACTTACTGTGTGGTTGACTGCTCTCAGATTGAGCGGTCTATTCTTACAACATTCAGATGTCCACGCCAAAGAACCATTCATCAACTTTATCAATTAAAATTTCCTTAGTTTAACTGAGGAATGACTTCGCAACAGTATAAAATATTTTGCAGCCGTATTTTTGCAGGAACACGTTATGGAATAACAATTCTGTGAAATTATGTGGCTCAAAAATCTAACAGTGAAAGTTTTTAGCAGCTGTTTTTGTTAGATTGCCTTATACTTTAAAAAACGGCAAATTAATAAATGGCATAACATATTAGATGAATATTCTATGAGCTATGAATATTCTTTTTGTTTTAGTACTAAATGTGTACTAGCGTGTGATACTTATTAAAGGTACTGTATCATAACACTCTAGACTGATGCTACGCGCCGTTCGGTGCCTCGAGTATTCATTTCTGCAGGCACTTGCCAAATGAATAATATTGGAATACGGTATTGATGTTGATTAGCTTACCGGATGAATGGTCCGGGTAAAATGGCTCTCGAGTAGTTGATGGGCACTGAACGCCAGGTATAGCGCAGACAGCCTATAGGATAAAGTTGATAATAAGAATTCGTAAATCGAATGCAGCTCTATCAAGATGATTTTTGAACTGTACAGCTTCATATTGCCGGCTGGCGCTTTCTTCAGTTCCACTGTAGATATAATACCCGGTCGCACGCCCGACTACAAGCTGAAGGATTGCAAGGACAGACAAGGCTAAAGAAAATGGTGACATTTTGAAATAGTGCTATGTTTAGCGCAGGATAAGCAACAGTAATAAAAATATGGAATCGCTTCTGGGTGGTTAAATAGGAAAAATTAATATGAGGATGTACGGGTATACAGATACATACTATCTGTAGCTTTTGTCAACTATACCAGCTACTTAGAACCTGCGCATACGACTTCGGTAAGCGCCCGCAAAGCATTGCAGAGTCAACACTTTTGCAAGTGTTATTCCCAAAATCCGGCTTTGGCTGATAAACCGAGAAGAACCCCAGCCGGCAAACTTGCTTACTTGCTTTTGTCGAAGAAATTCTTGAAACGGTCGTTCAATTTTCGCTAAAACCATTACAATTTGGGGGATGCCAAAACTAGTCCGCTAATCGGTTCACCTTGTTTCATGGTAGCACTTCAAGTAGTTTTCAAGTACACGGTTTCTGCTGACTATGGATGGGTCTGGAGAAATGATGACTGCCGATTTACAGTTACTCGTATCTCTTCGATCTGTACCTTCAACATACTCTGTATTGTACATATGTCTGTATTGATACGAGCCGAAAAAAATGCATTTGCAGCGAAAAAAATGCGTTTGCCGAAAAATGCAGATGCCTGGTTGCCTCTTATAAAAATTTGCTCAATAATAATTAATTCTCAGTAATATCAAGAATTATAAACTAAGTATATGCATACAAAATGAAAGTGGTTTCTAATTAGGTTATTTTTCCGTGTAATAGACAATGGAAACGTTTTTCCTGATTAGCTACAGAATGTTTGCAACGGTGTACAGAATGAACAAAAATACTGTAGCGTAATAATTCATATGAATATATATTTATATATATGTATATATGTATTTATATGCATATATATATATGTATATATATATATAATTTTATGTATATATATTTTACATCAACACTTTACAACGATTTGTTCTTTATACCATAAATAATAATAATCATAAATATTCGACCGAAGCGTAGCGGAGGTCATCTATGTTCAAGTATTATGGAAAATGTGGTGTCCGTCCGTCGGTCACCGCCAACTAATGCACGCATGCACAGAGACCATACAACCACCACGTGCACGAATGCACGCTCGCCGTATATACTCACGCCTCATGCAAACTACGGTATCCGTCCGTCGGTCACTACCATACCATATAAAGGCGCCTTGTGGCCGTAAATACTCCCTGTGGATGGGAAAAGCGGTGTCCGTCCATCGGTCACCACCATTTTAAATAACTCAGCGGGTTTTATATTGGACCACCGCGATCTTTTACATTTACTGAAATTTATTTGTAATTAGTATTGACGGTCACCATGGTTGCGCAGTTCGTAAATTCATATAGCTAAATCAAACACTAAAATTGCCCTTACATAAAGGTCACCGCAAAATACAACTGGAAGCCGGTAAAGTTGCCGGTATTAGTTAAAGTGAATAGTTTGCGAAACCCGGAAATATCGAATCTTCAACGTGTTTAAATGGTTCGCAAGGATGCCCACGTGTCAGCAGGAAATACAAATCGCAAAAGGCCTCGACACCGAAAACCGCAAAACCGTAAGTTTGAATCTTATTTAACCAGACATTAAATAAACGTGCATTAAAATTACAGACGAAACCTCAGAAAGTGAGGACGACATATCTCAACCACGGTCCAAACGCCAGCGACAACAGCAAAACGAGCTGGTTCGAGTGCGAAATACCGCTAATCAAGCCAGACGAAGAGCCGCGATGACCTCAGCGCAACTACGAAGCAAACGGAGGAAAGATAGGGAAGCGGCTGCTCGACGTCGCCATGAAACCTTATCACGCAATACAGGACATAGTTTAAGAAGAAGAGATCGGGAACGTAAAGCACGACGCCGCGAACAGCCTTCACAGCGAGCGCAAGAACAAAGGCAAAATACAGAGGCTCACGCACGTGCCCGGCAGACAAACTTCTGAGCAAAGAAACAGACGCCTCACCGCGAGACGCTTTAGTCGGGTTGTGTCTCGAGCATCAATGGAACCTAAATTACTGGCCCATTCACTCCAGCAGCATATGATGTCACTTAAATGGAAAGAATGTGGTATTTGCAAAGAATCCTGGCCGGGGTTGAAACTGGATAATAGAGAACGTTGTGCACAATGTCGAAAAGCAACTTCTAAATTCAGCGAACAGAACAATATGGATCCAGGTGCTGTGCCTGCAGTTTTGAAATGTTTAACCTATCTGGAGCAGCAGCTGATTGCACGAATTCATCCCGTCCTATCAGTGTACAAGATTGGCCGTGGACAACAGTTGAGTTACAGTGGGAACGTTATAAATTTCATGCAGGATGTGAGATCGTTTGCAAAATCCTTGCCACACAATATACACGAGTTGATGTCCGTTGTATTGGTAAACCGCAGTGAAGTGAATAATTATACAGTATTCAGCGTATCATCCACACGAATCCGCAAGGCACTGCTGTGGTTGAAGAAGCACAATATATGGTACAGAAATATACAAATAAGCAATGCCACTCTGTCGATGCTGCCCGAGGACGGGAATGTTCATTCTGTACTGCAAACCATTATTCGTACGCCATTAGACGTAACGGAGTCCGACGAAAGAATACACGACACTGGTGTGGTTGTAATGCCGCATGCAAATCAGTCCGCTCAAATCAAGGAAGCAATTGGGATGGAAATTTCTCAAATACCGTACCCGGAAATGTCGCCTCATCCAATTGATGAATTCAACACGCCCGGGTATATTGCGCAAGCGTATCCCTGCTTATTTCCAACCGGCGCGGCAGACCTGCGAGATAACCGTGGGAGAGCGATACCGGTGTCAGAAAGCGAATATTTCAAGCACTTGATGCGATATCAAGGGAGAAGATTTGCGACTCATCCAACATTTAGATTTTTTGCCATGAACACGTTATTCCGTTGGCAAGCACTAAAGACGGGACAAGTTTTTGTGAGGAAGTCCGCCTTGGGCAACATTACTGCAGACGAACTACGAGACAGGCTGGAGGCCAACCCTACTTTAATCAAACAAATTATGAATTATGGCTATAAACTCAGAGGCACGATGGCATATTGGCATCACCGCAGTTCCGAGTTGATCGACATGGTGAAAACCATAGGAATTCCAACGCTGTTTTTTACTTTGTCGGCAGCAGATTTGCACTGGCCAGAGCTCTATGACCTTTTGGAACCTGCAGCCAAATTCGACAACTTACAGCCCAATGAATCCTCGAAACTTCGAGCGAAATTACTGCAGGACAATCCAATGGTGGCTGATTGGTTTTTTACTGAAAGGGCAACGCACTTTATTCACAAGATTTTGACTCCCAAATTAAAGATTAAAGACTACTGGTACAGATTTGAATATCAACATCGCGGAAGTGTTCACCTGCATGGGTTATTGTGGCTAGAAGATTCACCACACTCTGCAGACTTTAAAATATTGGATGCCATGGGAAAGCAGCAAATAATCGATTATTTCGACACTTTAATTAGCGCTTCCAATCCCGACCTGAACCCGCCTCCTACTGCTGTCCATCCGTCCCAACTGCGGCCCGATAAAATTACAGACTGGAACGCCGATTACGTTCAACTTGTGAACAAAACGCAGAAACACACCATCTGTCGAAAAGAGACATGCTTGCGAAAAAAACGTCGGGGCACTGAACAATGTCGGTATGGTTTCCCTCAACCGATTGTTCCTGCAAGCCTGATGGAAGAAACAGATGGCAGACTGGCGTTTATTCCAAAAAGAAACGACCCGCGAGTCAACCGGCATAACCGCAGCATTCTGCAAGCCTGGCGAGCAAACATCGACGTTTCGCCTGTTGTTGACCAACACGCTCTCATCAACTACGTCGCGAAATTCGCGTCAAAAGCGGAACCTTGATCGGCATCGTATGCAGAGATTTTGAAAATAATCTTGGACGCCGAGAAGGAAATTGGTGGTACGGCAAAAAAGTCTGTTCAGCGTCTTTTGTTGAAGTCAGTTTCGGAACGTGATATTTCTGCCCAAGAATGTATGCATCTGTTAATGGGAACCGAGTTGTACAAGTGTTCGCGCCCGTTTGTCAATTTAACAATCAGGCACGATGAATGGATGCCACTTGCTGATGATACTGAGCAGACCGAAGCTGACGCACCATCAACAAAAACGATCCTGAACAAATACAGGAACAGGGCACCGGAATTGGAAAATGTTAGCCTGCATGAAATAGCCGCCAAGTACATTTGGACGAAAATTGGATGGAAAAAAAGAGCCCGCAACAAAGAGGGTGTAGTGAGAGTTTTCCCCATCACTGCATTATCAAACGACCCAACGAAAGACGAAGAATTCTATCGGCAGCAGGTAATTTCAACAGGAATTCTGTACATAGCATAAACACTAGGAAAATTATGTACGCATATATGGTAATGTACCGAAAAGCACATTTTTTCGTACAGGTACTGCTGCATTCACCGTGGCGAGATATGGATGACGCTTTACTGAACGACGGAAGTTGGGAGCATGCGTATAATCAACTCGATATGTCTGTTCCCGGTCCTAATATGCCGGATCCGGATGAACTTGAAAGTTCGGATGACGAGGCAGACGTCGCATTCGATCGGGATCAGGACGAGTTCATGGTTCTACAAGGGCATGGACCAAATGCCGCGGCACCGATAGTCGAACTAGGTACACGTCAGATGGATACAATGTTTGACTGGCAAGCAGCGTATCAGCAGTATGTGAATATTGCCGAAGCAGAAACCTTTCTCGAAAGATCTAAAGCCGATACCGATGAAATAAACAATCCTGTTGTGTTGCCCAACATAGCATTGTCGCGCGAACAGGAGGACGTTCTTAATCACTTTGACGCGCAATTAGACGGTTCCGTGCCTGACCGATGCACCATAATACAAGGGAAAGCCGGAAGTGGTAAATCGACCCTAATATCCTTCTTGCGAGCTAAACTCACAAACCAAACTGGGTTTGGAGAAAACTCATACCGCTTGGTCGCACCTACTGGTATGGCAGCTAATAATATAGAAGGAATGACCATCCATACCCTTTTCCGGATCCCTGTCAACAGAAAATTTGTACCACTTGCAAACGAAGAGCTGAACAGGTTGCAGTCCGAATTCGAAGAAATACGATGCATTATTGTCGATGAGTTTAGTATGATTGGGTGCAGTCTGCTTGCCAAAATGGATCAGCGTTGCCGTCAAGCCAAGCCTGAAGCCTCGGATATCCCCTTTGGTGGAATGTACATTTATTTTTTCGGTGACATCAATCAGTTGCACCTGTTTTGGACCGCCCACTGTATGGCGATGGCTTTTCCAGCGATTTGGCTGATCAGGGACAGCTTGTGTTTCGGAATGCATTTACGAAATGCTTCATTCTTACATCTTCCCACCGTCAGAGTGGAGCAGATCCAGAACAGCAAGCGCTCAGAGACGCCCTTGACCGCATTTCCACCGGAGACTCCTGTGGAGTCTCAGGAAGACTACGACAAATTTGTTAATCGAACATACGCACTGCTGTCACCAGACCAGCAAGCCGAATTTAAAGGAGCGCTTCATATATTCTCAGAAAAAGAGCCTGCTAAAAGTTTCAATATGAACGCTATTAAGCAACTCAATATGCCAGTGGCCAGGATCAAAGCTGAACACAACGGCCGCACAGCTTCCAAAGGTAAAGGCCTACAAACTTTACCGTAATGGCATCATACAATAATTCCATTTTTAAAGGTTCTGAAGATCAGGCGATGGGTCTGGAACCAGTACTGTACCTGTCGCGTGGAAGCCGCGTGATGCTGAAACGCAACATGTGGACGAGCAAGGGACTGGTCAACGGGGCGCTCGGCTATGTACGTGACATCATTTATTCGCCTGGCACATCACCAACGGATACCTTGCCGTATACCGTTCTGGTGGAGTTCGATAAATACACAGGCCCAACATTGGCGAACAACTGCGTTCCCATTGTGCCCATTACAACTCAGTAGAACGACAAGTCCGAGAAATGCACAAGAACGCAAGTCCCTCTATGCCTGGCGTGGGCTATCACCATTCACAAATCCCAAGGCATCACGTGCAATCACGCCGTCGTCCACCTCGGAGCTAGGGAATTCGCCTCTGGTCTAATATATGTTGGGTTTTCACGTGTTAAAAGCTGGATAGGCTTAGCGATTGAGCCCATGTTTTCATTCAATCTACTACAAAGTATCAAAACGAAGAAAGCCACCTTGCAAAGAGCACGTGAACTGGACCGGTTGAAAAGGCTGCATTAAACAACATACTTCTTTTTTGCCCACCATCTCGTCAATATTCTGCCGCTGTAATAATGCATAAGCGATGTTCGTGCCAACGGATTGCTCCATTTACAGTAAAGTTCAACTCAGTAACACCATTAAAAATTAGCTGAAATCTACCTTTCACGCTACGCTTCGGTCATGCAGTGCCCGCAAAAAGCGAGTGCACTTTTCTAGTGATATTACGAGTAGTACCATAATATTACTAAACCTTAAGGTATTCCATCGACTGGCGTGACGTCACGCTATGTGACACGCAATGTGCAACACAGTGGGCAACCCCAGCGGGTTCCGTGTTTTTCAAAACTTTCAAATTAGTACAACCCGTTCGTACTATGGCTCAAAAAATGCAGAAAAAAAATCTAAGTTTGTAAACTAAAACTGACAAGTGAAACGTTGTCAAGGAAACGAAAACTTTTTGATTTTCTTTAGTATAGAGATCTATGAGGTGGTTGCCAGTCCAGAGACCTCCATGCTAAACGAAAATTCTTGGTTCTTGATCTGTGATCAAACGAAGCGACCACAACCTGATCAGTCAACCAAAACGAAACAATTAAAATTTAATCATGAAAACGGTCAAACAATTCAGATTTGATCAAAACAAGTGATCTTTGTTTAGCGTAGAGGGCTAAGGCAGACTGCCTCATAGACCTCTATGGTAAACAAGAATTACGTTAATCGTAAAGTTTTCGTTTGTATAGCAACTTTTTGCTTACCAACTTTCACATTCCAAACTTCAAATTTTTTTCCGCATTTTTTGAGCCATAGTACGAAGGGATTGTACTAATTTGAAAGTTTCGAAAAACGCAGAACCCGCAGGGGTTGCCCACTGCGTCGCACAGTGCGTGTCATCTACCGTGACGTCATCGTACAAAGTGCAAGCTCGATGGATTACCTTAAGGTTTAGTAATATTATGGTAGTACAAAACCAACAGTAACTCATACAATCACATTATCAGTTGTAAGCGTCACGAATTATATACCGTAATTATCGAATTATAAGCCCTGGGATACAAATTTCGGAACGCCCTGCGGAGCTGCTTCAATTATGGACATGAGCTTGTATTTTTGGGGGGCTGTGATATTTCAAATCTGTTTTACTGGCAAGGGCGTAAAAATTAAATGGTAACTGTGAGGTACCAGTACAAGCCGCTGCTGAGAAATTCATTTTTCCGAGCATTTTATTAAAGCCCAGGGCTTCTGTCTTTCGGGCCTATAATTTTTGAATCACTTTAATGGGGGGCTCAAATTACGGGGATGGATTCTATTGTGGGGGGCCTCTAATTCGTTAATTACGGTGAATGTGTACTACATAAAAAGAACACTGATACAGTTTAGTAAATGAATAGCGATAAAATAAAAGTAAAACGAAATAATATTGATTGCATCAGTGTTATTTCGTTTTGCTTTTATTTTGTCGCTATTCATTTACTAAACTGTATCAGCGTTCTTTAATAAATATTCAGTATTAAAAATGAACGTAACATTATGCATATTTTAATAATACTGGCCGCGAAATCTTCCTCTTTTTATGGTGTGTAGACTTACCCGTAATCAAAACGTACCTGTAAAACGGATGGGTGCGCTACCTAACACCCGGCCGGCAAAGCGAGCGTGATCACCTCAGGGGACGGGGTTTGGTCATTAGTCAGGCACAAAGGTGTACCTGAGACATCAATGCAAAGCGGCTAACGAGGATGAAATTATACAAAGCGCACAACGGTAAAAGTCACCACAACTGGCAAGCGACGTATGCGGAGACGACAAATACTAATCTCCTTGGTATACAGTAGTGATTACGTTATGTATATGTAATACAGGTCATCCATTTATCTGGGTTAGAAAACGGGATTTTGAGTCGTATTTCAATTTGACTTTAGAGCAATGTTATTGCCGGTGTCGGTTTACATGGCGGACGGGGACTGGCAGTGTGTATCGATGTGTCATTTAGGGGATTGAACGCGCGGGGGTGTAATGGAAGGTGTGCATTGTGCAAATTAGTTGGGATGGGATAATCGTGTTACATGTCGAATAACATAATTAAATATTTAATGCACCTAAATCACGCAGCGCAGTATCCCGTCTTGCGGTGCCTGGCGTGCCATACATTCAGCTTTTGCACTAAATGTGTTGCGCAGTACAGTGAAAATCAGAGAACACACACAATCTGCAAATTATACTATTTGTATAACACGGCGCAGTGCTAACCAGGAAAAAATAAACAATATTCGTTACAACATATTGCTCTGTATAGTACTATCACAATTAATTTTAGGCAATATACTGTTAATGGAAATGGAGGACTGCATTTCGATGCAGTTGTACCGAAAAACACAATGTTACATAAACAACTATAGAAGTATTATTCTTAGAGATTAGCGAATTTTTATTGATACCGGAACAGAAGAGCTAAACAATTTTTTTTGCAATTTTTGCTTTTCTTTGAACATTTTTCCGAAGATAATTTCCTGTCGGCGTCTTTTTAGTAACAACCGCTGCTTCAGTTTATGGCTAATAGGCAGTGAAAACTGAAAACCGTTTTTTTTAACGAAATGATTTCAGTGCAGGTCGATTTCAATGTGAAGTAATTTGGGACACTCTTTGGCATAGAAATTCTTTGTGCTGCCTGATTTGTCTGCAACATTTCTGCACAGACGACCGCACGTGATTTTTGAAACATTTCTGAAATAAAATGTAATATACTTTGGCGCACAACAGACAGTTTATAACGGTATACGAAAACTAAAAGCCGAATTTAAGACTCATTAAAAATTGTATGTGTAATACTCATCTCATGGTCAGTTGAATTTTAGTATGTACGCATAAGTAAACAACAACAATGACACCTTTCAAACCATCTAACTGTACCATTAAGTCTACGACCATCACCTCTAATGAGCCGGTAATTACCAAATACCAACGGACTCTATCTGAAATATTTAACACTATAAAGCAAACCGTGGTTAAAACGATCCGAATTCATTTACAGACCACAGTGAAGTCTACGTAGTGTGTATTTTGAAAGAATGAACATCATACTTTGCTTTGTGGTGCTTGTATGGAGCCTGATGGACAGTGCATTGGCGGGATTGAGTGTGGACTTAGCAAATATCCCGATGAAAACCAGGGTGCCCATTAAAGATCCCAATTTGCAAGTATCCGAAGCGGTGTCCATCAATCTCCTCGCTGGCGCTGGTAGCGATAGCAGTAATGAGGTGGTGCACCCGCGCGCGGCCATCGCCGTTGCCCCGGTCATCCCGACACTGGATGCCAATTTACCGAAGATTCCTGTACCGAACTTTAGGTCAGTACAGTCACTAAGTCTAAAAAATTAATTAGCGCTTCAGAAATTATTTTAAATGATCAAACTGTATGTTTTTTTAAACATACAGGTTGAATAAAACCATGTTCTATTCTTCCGAACCGCGCAGTTAAGCAGCAAAAATTCCAAGAGATTCCAACAGATTTTGTCTCAAAATATTGTCATTGTTCAAAATGCAATTATTTTTCCATTTTTAGGGATGTATTTTGTTTATCTATTTTTATTAAATATATTACTTTCATTTTCAGTTAGCTTATTTAGTTATCAAAGAATTTTATTGCTAATAATTTTAATATTGATCGATTATTTGTTTTTGTTTAACAGTTGTTGGGTTTTTAACCTTTTTTGTAATTTATGTTTGCTTTGTTTTCTAAAATGTTTTGTGAGTTATGTACAGCATGAATGGCTAAGGAACTAGACTGAAGTATTGGTTTTTGGCAGGCCATGTTCCTGCGAAGCAACTGTCCGAACCACGCCCTCCCCGTCCACCATCAACGTGCCACCCCGCAACCGTCTGGCTTTGGAGCCTTCTATCCGCGGCATGCAGGCCGGACATCCACGCGGAGCTCCACCGCGCACAGCCATCAAACCTATTCCCGGGAAGGGTGTCCACTGCAGTCTGCTGTTCCAGAACACTTCCGGTCTGGACTGTCCCTGCCAAAACTGGGGCGAACGCTGTGGACCACCGCGTTCCATCTGCTCCAATTTCTCCTCGGAGTTCTCGACGTGCATGTGCAATCTGGCGGAGAGTGTGCGCGAAGGGACGAAATGTCAGCCAGCGGCCGTCAGCATCCCGGCACGTGGAGCGGATTTCCGGATCTTTGCACCGGCGCCGGTGGTGGAAGTAGGGTGTGATGCCGAGCCGTGTCAAATCGTTTCCGGAATTAACGTAATATATATTTTCAGGTTCAGCACTAACTACTCACAACTACGTACTAAAGTTTGCTTTAATTTCTTCCAAACCCTTTTCAACTTTATTATCAATTTAATTTTTTATCTAAACTTTACATAAAAACAAAATTCCATTTGAATAACTAAATTTTTCCGTACAATTATTTCTAAATTAAAATAGGAGAACAAAATTACACACAGCAGTAATTTTCCTTTTTATTTACAAGCACTCAATAAAACTACTATACTGCCTTAATTATTTTGACATAAATCAGTTAAATAAAGAACTGAAGTTTAAACGAAATGCAGAACTGAATTTTATTAAAACGTAGTTGTTATTGCAGTATTTATTTTATGATAGATATTGCCCTTATTATTCTTAGATTATTCAGCTCGCTGATACGGGCGAATTGCGAAATATGTCTTTGCCAAAACTCTCAAAATTCGTGGGAAACTCTCCACGCAGAATACGAAAATTACATTCTCGGCGCATTTTCTAGACGTTGATGGGCGTTCCTCCGTACAGTTGGACCATCAATCGCATCCATTCCACCGGCTCCAACAGCATCTTACCGGACGACAGCCCCGGTCCGGACATCAGTCTAGACGACAACGCCAACATTCTGAACGGTGCCAACTGTCTGCGTAGTGGGCGTGGATTAACCGTTGACCTGGACAAGGTCAGTGCGCACCGTGATCGTCTGGGGCCGGTGGAGCGAATCAAAGACTTTTTCACCGGTCGCCAGCTGCCTATTGCCGCATTGACCAGTAGCCGCATGGAAAAACAGTCCAAAGTTGACGTCTACCGGATTGTGGCGCGTGACGGGGACGGAACAGTCAGCAACATGGTGACGCTAACGGTCAGCAAATATCCTGCATATGACGAGCAATTTCTATGCAGTTCTTCCAAATGCATAATTGTGGTTAACGGTTATACAGACAGGTTTTCTGTATGTACAGGTTTTCTTCAACAATCAGTGTCCTGTGAAGATTAGAACGGTCTCCAAGGATGTGTGAACATGCACGCTGGACAGTTTCCTTGAACGCATTTCGAACGGCTTCGCAATATGGATCGCGGAGTTTTGTTTATGAAAGAATTTGCGATGTAACCCAGCGCTTTCAAATTTTCTGTAGCAAAATTTTCAGAGGAAGGCTGAACATACACGAGGTAGCTATTAAATATTAATACAATCGACAGTTGTATTCATATTTGATAGTTAATAATTGTATACTGTATTTCAAATATGTGCTAGACTGCCAGTGAGTAGTGGTAATAATTAGCCGCTCAAGTTCCCCGTGGCACTTTGTGACGACCGTGCAGCTGGACTGTGGCATGATTATATTTTCGAAAAGAACATTTTCGAATAATTATTAATGTAATAAAAATATCGAATGGTAGCAGGCTATCCATAGAATTAACTATTACCAACTTTCCTTTCTGGCAATAGCAACAGAACAAGCTGACCGTAGAAAGTAAAACCCAAAATATTACTCGTACCCATTGTGCTTCATGTTTTGACTCTAAACAAACGCGCAACATGTGCAGACTTCTTACAGTTCGTTCTTCTACAGTACAGTCATGGGTGCAATACTAGGTACAGTATCGCGACTAATTAATTACGTGGATCCGCAACTGGTAACCAAATCAGGCGATTTATTGACACTGCATTGGTACTTTTATAAGGGATACCAGCAGATAACGGCGAAAGCCGCTCTTGACTATTCAGCATACAAAAAGGCACCAGAGACCACTGGCCATGCCGCTCGGTATCGTACATCTCTGTGACGGACGTAGTATTATCACCTGCGCATACGGCAATGGTGCCACCTAATACAAATATGCGGCTGTTCCTTGCGAAAGCACAATGGTTTGTCCGTGGATATTTAAGGTCAGGTATGGCCTCCAGAACACCGGTTCGCATATTTAGCTTCTGGCATGGCGCTTCTCGGTTGGTAGGCTCTGCAGAACTGTCAACTGAACTTTCCTGGGCGTTGACGGGAATTACTCCACTCAGAATATAAAGATGTCCCCGCACCACCACCGTGGCAAAACCCTTTCGATAGCTGAGTGGTTGGCGGAAGCCCACCCATTCACGGGTAACGGTATCAAACCGCGTCACATACATGAAGACAGAATCTAGTGACGGCGTTGAAAAGTATACCAGTCGATGGCCAAAACGTGCACCGGAGATGACTTCGTGCACCCTGTAAAACCCGAACGGTTTCAAGTGAACAGTTGTACGATTAAACGGAATACTGTACTTATGGTTAGAACGTAACACGTAGTGGTGCCAGTTATTAGATATGTCGTTTTATATGCATACAATTTCTTTAAGGTAGAGAATTAGGAAATACACAAAATGGCGGATTTAAACAGCAGATGCTTTGCTTCAACGCATATTGTGCAGTCAGTTGCATAACTTGCATTTCTGTTCCCACTCAGATTTGGCAACGACAGTTTTTGCGCATTGTCCTCGTTTCTGTTGCACATGTAATACTCGAAAAATTGCTAACACGAAGCAAAGTGAATCGTTTCCACTGAAAAAAATTAAGTGTAAACTCTACCATAATATCCAGAAACGGTGGCAAAGATTAACAAGCCAGGAGCACATACTTATGCTGCTTGTAATTTTGAACAAGTAAACCTGCTCGTAAAGATTGTTAAGTAACGTTATAACGTATGATGATTGATGAGGTTCATCATCTATAGGCTACAGCGCAGTGTAAAAATTAATTTCTGAATCTTGTTTTGGCCACACCCATTGGCATTGGCACATGACATAAATTTTTTAAGCATCCTGCATGGTTCTTCTATCTTTCTGCAAAAAATTGTGATTCCTGAATTAATAGCCGCGGAATGTGCCCTGGTTAGCTGTTTGGTTTCCTCTTGTAATTAGTACTCGTACTCTGCATACCATAATTACCTCGCACCATCCGGCAAGGAAGGCGCCGGTAACGCTCCCATGCGCCAGTCGGACATATTTAACACGCTAAACAGCAAATCCTGATGTTCAGTTTTCCAAAAAAAGTAAATTTTTTTCTTGATCATGATCGGACATATCATCGCGCGCAGCGGCTGCAAGGGCACGATCCACTGCCATGTCTGCAGAGGCACATCCCACAGTATTAATTCGTGACCCAACTCGTTTGCTCGTACGTGGCACAAGATTTGGGTGCTATTAGCCGTGAAGATTCCCAGGAAATGTAGCGTATCGAGGCTTGATGGGAGTGATGGGAGTTTACAATCACGCATGGTTCTGGCACTAGGATCCAAAACTTGTACGCGAACATTAGACCCACGGTCTCCCTGATCCAAGCAGTGGAAAAGCATAATGACCTGTGGCGACAAATGCTTCTGAAGAAGAATTACTTGGCGAAACAATTGATCCGCGGAAATCCGTTCGGTGATTTCGGTACGCAAGCATTGCTGGATGCAGAAAGCAAGTTCCACGGGAACGGAATCCGGGACCACTGGCATGTAACCGTCAATGATCAAACCAACATATCGGCTTTCCGGTATCCTGCATTCTGCTTCAACTACGGTTGTGCCGAATGGATCGCGCAAACTTCTAATTTGAACTCCCATAACCGAATCGGCAATGGCTAACATAACACAACCGAGACTCCAAATATCGGTTTTCCGTCCCGGCAAATCATGTCCGGTTTGCGCGAACTTTCTCAGTATCTCGGGTGCCATATAGCGCGTGGTTCCACGGAGGTGGGATATGTCACACGAAGCGGTTTCGTGATCCTGCATATGAACCAACTCATCCAAATCACCGATAACCAATTTTGGTTTTGTGCTATGCATGCGCCGTATCAATATGTTCTCCGGCTTGAGATCTCCGTGAATAATATTGTGTTGGTGCAGGAAATCAACACCACTGACAATTTCGGCAATATAGTTGATGGCAGCGGCGTAATCCAGGAAACGCGATTGTTCTTTGAGGATTTTCAACAAGGACGCCAAATCTCCACCTGGCAAAAGTTAAGAGACAAATCGCATGGTGGATGGTGTGACAGACAGTTTGTCTGCTAAGCAATACCGTTTTCATTACCAGTTACCTGAATCCTGTAACTATCAATATTTTACGGGATGCTATAGTTTATATTAAAGGTGATTGTTGGAAAGAATAACACAGTAGTGACGGACACTCTACTCCTAGCAATAAATCCAGTACAGTATTTCTACAGCCTGCAGTGAATGATTACAGAATCCACCATGACAATAACAAAATTAAGAAACTTCTGGTATCCCGGGAGGCGTTGCACATATCGTAGTACAAAGCCACAGTTGAAGAGTACAAGAAGAAAAAATTAGGCGGACCGCATTGCGAATTCCGTCAGGAAAGCAGCACATTCTGACAGGAAAATGGCACATCCTTACCGTCACAGTAATCCATTGCCAGTTCCACAACCACCCTTCCAGTCAACGATCTGGTAACCCTGACCTGATGGTACGTCAGTAAACCATCATGTCTAAACGCAACGAGACTTCTCAATCGGTTGTGCCACTTCTCCCATCTTTCCCCGCCATTCATGAACTCTGTGTGATCGTGCAGGTGGATCACTTTAACAGCCACAAAATTTTCCCCAGAATAATTCCCGCGTCGCGTTATTCGGGCCTTATATACGATCCCAAACTTTCCTCGACCAATGTAGTCAGCATTTTTGTAGCGGTACCGGCAATTGCTTCCGATCCGTTCGGTTGTCGGGGTCGACGGTGCTGCTTTGGATGAGGGGTTTTGACGATTTCCCATTGCATTCTTGGAAGTACGCTGCAGTTACGATAACCACTCGCGTGCGCTTACGATAACCGCCGATAGCGGTTCGCCTTTTTCATATCTGAGCCTTATTATCGCCATACTGTCCACCCCGGTTTCAAAATTTCATAGTTGAGCGACGTTAGCAAACATCAATAAACAGTTGCTGTAGCTTACAAATGCCTGCTTTGTACTAGCATGCCTTACTCATGAACCAGTAATATCAGTTGAGGACAAAAATGCCGTACAGTTGCTGTGTATTTGTTTAAAGTGCAATTGCCGCAGTGCATAAGTTTCCGTAAGCATAGAAAGAACGGTGAGATGGCGTTTTATGGCTCGAGTAGCACAGAACGTGTTTCTCACAGCCCACAGGATTTTGTAGAGGGCTCGTTGTGCCTTTTCCATGGCGTTCGAATGGTGGGCTTTGTATGGATGAGAGCGACTAGGGTAAATCACCCGTGCTTTCTCTGTTTTTACTATATAAAATTTAGGACTGGCTCAATCCGTACCAAACTTGTGTTGCGTCGCGCGACAGACAAGGAACGCGACAGAACAGACAGCCGCGACAGTATTTTGGCTGTAGCACATAGGCTGCGGCCAGGCTGTATTGCCGCGACGCCGCGACGGCCGCGACACGGTATATAACCGCGACAGCACCGCGACAGTACTTGTGCTGCGGCCAGGCTGTACTGCCGCGACGCCGCGACGGCCGCGACAGGGTATATAACCGCGACAGCACCGCGACAGTACTTCTGCTGCGGCCAGGCTGTATTGCCGCGACGCCGCGACACGGTATATAACCGCGACAGTACTTCTGCTGCGGCCAGGCTGTATTGCCGCGACGCCGCGACAGCCGCGACACGGTATATAACCGCGACAGCACCGCGACAGTACTTCTGCTGCGGCCAGGCTGTATTGCCGCGACGCCGCGACGGCCGCGACAGGGTATATAACCGCGACAGCACCGCGACAGTACTTCTGCTGCGGCCAGGCTGTATTGCCGCGACGCCGCGACAGCCGCGACACGGTATATAACCGCGACAGTACTTCTGCTGCGGCCAGGCTGTATTGCCGCGACGCCGCGACAGCCGCGACACGGTATATAACCGCGACAGCACCGCGACAGTACTTGTGCTGCAGCCAGGCTGTATTGACGCGACGCCGCGACACGGTATATAACCGCGACAGCACCGCGACAGTACTGGTGCTGCGGCCAGGCTGTATTGCCGCGACGCCGCGACAGCCGCGACACGGTATATAACCGCGACAGCACCGCGACAGTACTTCTGCTGCGGCCAGGCTGTATTGTCGCGACAGCCGCGACACGGTATATAACCGCGACAGCACCGCGACAGTACTTGTGCTGCGGCCAGGCTGTATTGCCGCGACGCCGCGACAGCCGCGACACGGTATATAGCCGCGACAGCACCGCGACAGTACTTCTGCTGCGGCCAGGCTGTATTGCCGCGACAGCCGCGACACGGTATATAACCGCGACAGTACTTGTGCTGCGGCCAGGATGTATTGCCGCGACGCCGCGACAGCCGCGACACGGTATATAACCGCGACAGCACCGCGACAGTGTTCAGCAGTTGTCCTTAACTGGATACCAAAGTTTGCCATTAGACAGCAGGTGGGAAGGGGGTGCCTTTGGTGTTGCCAGAATAATAAAACCTCGATTATCTTTAGCGTGTTCACGATTCCGTTTTCTTTAAGATTCAGAATTATGTTATAATTGTTTAAAAATGTTTCCGAACGAAAATCTATGGTGTGTTTAAATTAAAATGATGCATGAAGATGCGCACAAGTATAAGATTGCTGCAACACCGAACAACGGTTCTGGAATTTTTTGCATTACTTGTTTAGCAGTTCCTGCTTTGAACAGCTTTACAATGGTAAGGGTTAACTTTAGATCACTCAAACGAGAGAACGTCTGTGTCGAACCTTTTTTTTAAATCAGTCGCTAGAAAGAATTTGTGTGTATAAGCTTTTTTCTTTTGACTTTTCCTGATTGAAAGTCATTTTTATGCTTTCTTATTGGAGCGATTGCTAGTTTGTTGGGTGTAGTAAATACACTGGACTTGAAAATAGTGTTAAATAGCGTTGTTGCTAGGTCCTTTTCCATAATATGCTCCGTAAGATCGTGCAGTAACAGGATTATAAGTCACCTTGAGAACTGCGCCTGCATCCGGCCCATTGTGTAAAGGGCGGTGTTACCGGCAGACGAACACCATTTTTGGCATAATCACCTCAATGTGTCTGTAGACTATGTCACTTAGATTGATATACGGACAGCACGAGCAACATGTAATGTAAATGTGCATCATGGCCACGTTAGTTTGGACACTTGTGTGACATAGAACAGGAAATATTTACATGTATCGCTTCGTTTCTAGTTTTTCACTTTCATATTAGCAGTTATCAAAGTTAACCATGGTCTACCGTTTTCAGAGACTTTAAAAAATGCTTCCAGGGTACGCTTTTTAGGAGGTTTCCTTGATGATGGTGTTCCGAAAAAACGATAACTCCGTTAGCAACGTTCTGTCGGCTACCCGAAATGCGTTTTCCTAAAAGCCTTTCGAAACGTTTGAGATCTCCTTCCGACGGGAATTGCTGCGCGGTTTGCATAATAATTGTAGCTGCATCGCCGCTGGTACTGGACTGGTATGTACTGTTTTTTTAGTAGTAACAGTATTGCTGCACGATTATAGCAGCTCTACTTTCGACAATTGCCTGTCGACTGAAATCAGCTTTTGTGTTTTCCAAACAAAATTTTTTCTATTACTACAATTTGTGCTTAGCTTGATAAAACCGTAGCTGCCAAGACACCATCAGTGTGCGCTGAAAGTGATTTGCGCGAACCGGCATGCACACTTGTGTATCACATGAATTTTTTTATCCACTCACCCGAAACATATTCCGGTCGTTTTGTCTTTTATTTGGCGATCAGGTAGCAATGAAGAAACAAAATATACCGTTTTACGCCACCACGCGCCGTCTTTTGTAACTCTGATTCTGATCGGGTTACTAGTTCTATAAATATATCGTTCAGTTCATAAATACACGTGTTGGTCGCGCTAGCGCGTTCCTTTGAGCTCTAGGTATGAAATTCTGATTTAAAACTTAGGAATGTGGAAATCAGTAGCCTATTTTGTGGAAATATTTCGTGCAATACTGTTTGAAAACGTAGAACTGATCAGTTATAGAGGTACTCGAGGCTACTTGATATTAAATTGTCAAGATATAGTGATACGCTACTTGATAGTTTACCGCTGTCGGCTCGTTCAGTAACCCCTAGGATGTCGACCTAGCTAACTGTCTGCTACAATGGACTTACTGGAAACACTCCTTTAGCCGCTTTGATGTTTTTCGCAATTGGCGCCTCTGTTGTTGATGCGGTTTATTGAACGCCTAATGTCTACAATACCCTCGCGCACCGCTCTGTGCGCCATTTCTTATTCAATTTTTCCAGTGTCTACTTACCGCAGACAAACCGTCGATGTCCTAATTGGCCCTGATTCTGAGGTTTACCAGTGGCGCTGTAGTTTACCATGACATGCGCGGCCATCTGGATCGATACGTACTTGTCAGTCGTGTTGCGGCGATCTGCTATCCGTACCATTACCGACGGCTTTGTGGCCGCAATTTCGAGGACTTTGTTCTTACGCTGTTATGGGTAGGTGCAGTGTGTTTAGCAAGTCCTGGCTGGTCAGATTTAGGCATGGAAAATCCGCTTATACCGACGGGCAGTTGCACGATTGCAAAGGAAAATGTTTTTGGGTTGTTGACCTTTCGCCGGGTATTATGTCCCGTAAGCGGTGACGGCCGGGGGCTATGTTGCCGTTTATTTTTACTATTAATTTGTCGAAGAAAAAAATCACAACGGTGAAAAACTAAATTAGAGAAAGCCTACATCAGAGGTAAGAGAACCGTACCCAGAAAACATTTTCTAGACAACTACATTGCGAAAAGATTAGCCAAATTTAAGCAATTTTTTCCATTGAACAATACTTGCATTATAGTCTCTATGCAGAAAATGTTAAACCAACAGCCCGATACATTACTGGAATCCGATCGGCTGTAACCATAAGACTGCATGAGATGGTTTACTTTCTTCAGCCGCTTTTCATTACTTCTCATTGAACCCGCGCATCGTACCACCCACAGGTCGCTTGTTGTCAGCAACACACTGCGACAAATAATCATTTCGTCGAACAGTCAGGCGATGGATGAAGAAGAACTGCCTGCTCTTGTTCATTGCATTAATTTGCTTTTTATACTTGGCAATCCAAGAGAACGTTTGTTCGGCGGCCATTGTGTTGCGCTCTGGGGCGTTTGGATGACGCTCCAAGTATTTATCTGGATGGTATCTTTCTTTGCATTTTGGGTCCTTGTGATTCTTAATATGCAGACCGTCAACAATTTTAGAAACGCGACTCCACAATTCATCGAACGGCTTTGGGAAGGGCAGCATTTCATTCGCAGCTTTAAGTCTGTTCAGCTGGCAAATGTTGTCATAACATACGAAAACGTTTTCCCATTCTTGTTGAGGAACATCCTGCAGCAGCTCGTACAGTGCGCTAACGACGAAGAGGTAAACCTGGCCGAGACTCTCTGCCCTAAAAGTTAAACAAATAAATCTCATGCAGCAATTTTATTTACTGTAGGTCAGATGTAAAGTGCTATAGGTCAGATGTAAAGTCTCTTTATGTAGTCCATGTTGGTCTTTAAATAGCGTCCATAGCGAATATTACAGAAAAAATACTACTGAAATTGCCGTCTACGATTCTTCGTACTGTATCTTTCCAGTACTTCATACTTCATAGTACTGCACTGTCAAGCATTAACAATTAACGTGTACTATTGACATGTAATACATAACATTTACGAGTAATATTGACTCAATTACTATGTAATATTTATTATTTACCATGTACACCAAAATTCGCGGCATTACTTTACCCTTTTTGTTGAAAGATTAGTTTAAGTGAGTCAAGCTGCATATTAATTATGTAAAAAGTTGCGAAATAAAAGAATATCATGAAGTTAAATTAATAAAACGAAAAGTTTTAAATCAAAACATTACAAATTAAAAAAATGACTCGTACGCACAGCCAACGCCCATGCAGGAATCCCGTGCCCGCAGCCAACACCCGTGCGGACCAAAAAAGGTCACCCGTGCACGCAGCAATGTTCTAATTTTTTTTCAGGTACTCGATAAGGTTGACGTTGATGGTTGCGTTAACCGAGATGCACTGCGCGAATATGTCTGGGAGATGTGCAAGGAAGCGGCTACGTGGCAGACAAAACCTGCAACGAAAGCGAAGCATACGCCACCGCAAACGCCGCTATCTCCTAACACGAAGAAAACTCGGGTTTCATCGGCTCCTGACGATCTCAGCTTGATCATTGAACAAGCAGTGGAGAAAGCCGAACCCAACACGGTAGTCGACTATGATATTGTAAAAAATAATATTTGGACTAAACTCTACCATAATACTAGCCTTATTATTTCATTACTTTAATAATTATGTGATTATTCCATTACTTTAATATGTGAGTTTCCACAATCTATGCTTTGTCACAAATGTACGTCATCCTTTCGTATTGGTAGGTGAAAGGAAACGTCAGAATCACCAACGGAAGAGCAAAAACCGGAGAAACTGTAACCTTCCTGCATTTCAAGCAGGATGCCTTCGAGGCTGATTTAAGAGCCAAGGGCATGGATGTGCGCTTCCTGGCCAACTTTTCCAGCGCACTGCGCCTCATTCCCAACGCAGAAAATTCTCGTGATGTTCGTCTGTCCGGTCGCTCGTTGAAAGCTTCCGCTGTTCCTGTTCAACACATTTCAAAGAGGGTTCTGGAACTATTAGGACAGTTTGGTAAGAAAACGCAACGAGAAACGAGATTCCAAATGTACAAATATTTAATGCGGAAATTTTTTTACCATAATAATTAAGCTGATTCGACACCACCTAATTATCGTGACCTTTGCTTGATCATGAAGTTAGCTAACGTTTCAGCTTATTAACAGTTTCGTTTTTTTCGTCTTCATCAATATGCAGAATTAAAATATTTTTGAGCGTAATTACACAGTAGAAAACGGATGCTTTCTCAGGCATCTCGGCCAGCACCACCAATGTCGCGGATCGGACAATTAATGTTGCTGACAAGACTTTAGAGGAACCGAAAATAGCTGAGCAAACGATACAGAACGACGCCGTTCCACGTGTTCTGGCATTCCACACAATTGAGGCTACTACCTCGAAGGATGAAGCATCAACCGCGGCCCCACCTAATGAACAAGAAACAGAAATGTCCCCTTCAACATCCGAACGAGTTCCTGCTTCAGAACGTTTGCCTTCGCCAGTAAATCCTCAAAGTAGCGAACCAGCGCATGTCCAGGATGCTGAAACTGTGTTGGACAATGACCGTTTCGAAGAAGGTAAAACCAGCTGAAAAAAGAACTTCTATAAAAGCGATAGCTGCTTTCGCAAAACGAAATAAACCATGACTTGTAATAATTCATACGTCCTGTTAAACAGAAAATGCAAAGCAGAAGAAAGACGCCGGAAAACGCAAGCCTGTTGACACAGGTATGTGCTACTATATGGATTAACAATTTTGGAGATATGAAACCGAAAACTAAAAAAACTCGACCGTTCAGATTATGGTGAACGGGATTTTCATTGTCTAAGGAATGTTTGTAGGACGTGCGCCGGTTACACGAACGAAAAAGCCTAAGGTTCAGGAGCTTTTAAACGACGACCGCGCGGTGGTGAGTAGTGCAGCCACAATCATGCGCATTTATAAAAGCTATTGCGTAAACGATTCACTAATGTAGTGCGCTAAGTGCGGAAAATCCTTCAAACTGCAGGATGTTGGAGTCGCCTGTACAGTGTGCAAAAAACTGTATCACCTGAAGTGCGGGGGAATCAATGGAAGGTTAACTACCGCTAAGGAAAAGGTTTACAAGTGCCAGTCTTGTGAACAGGCGTGAAATTTCAATGATATTCTGTTTTCGAAAAGACGCATTATAAGCAGCCAATTTTTTATAATCGAATTAGCCGCTGTAGGGGCCATTTTTACTTCTATGCGGTAGTAACCGTTAAATAAATTTGCATTTTTTTGCTTTCATATGCTGCGTTTGTCTGCTTGTTCAGCCATTTTACCTTCCGCATTACAGCGTTATGTTTTGCTTTTAACGAGGTTTTTGTTTGCAAAAGAGTAGAAGCTCGACTTTAAGGTGCGCTTGAGATGTTTGCTTTTAATTCTTCTAGATGTTTGCTTTTAATTCTTCTAGCTTTTTAACGGCATTAACCAACTAACAGCAAAAAATTGTTGCCGGTTTGAGCTGCCTGTGGTTACGTGTGTTATTCAAGACCCAAAAGAACTGCACCGTAAGAATACGGCAGGCTGTTTTTGCTGCACAAGTTTTGACTGGATTGCAGACTCAACTCAGCATTTTCGCACTAAGTATCACACACTTCGCAGTAGGCACATTGCACAGCTGTGATAGCATGTAAGGAGTATACAGTGCCCATTTTTGCTTTATCCACTTTCATACCACCCCCATCTTCACCGTCTAATTCCCAGCCCATCCCACCCTCGGCTACTCAAATTTTCATCTCTTCTCACCTTTTCGATCTCATCTCCATCCCCATTTTTTTGCAAATTTTCCGCATACAATAGAGTTGCCGGGCGTCAAAAAATCGGTATTCAAGAAAATATGCTCACTCATTGCCAGTCACTGATAAAATCCGCTCGGAGCGCAGAAAAGTTTTTGTTTTTGGAGATCGAATGGTGCATTTTTACGTACTCCTAGCCCAAAAAACAGGCTAAAATATCAAAATTTTATATATTTATTTGTTTTCTTGGTCCCATCCCATCTTTCAGCATTCCCAGCCATCGAAGAAACGCACAGGCCACTTCGTACGGTCAGCGCTGGCGCTGATTAAACACTTCGCACACCGGCCTGACAGGCCGTTGCACTCGGAGCCTGAACTCAGTGGTCACTGTTCACCCATTTAAATAAGCCTAAACCGCGTTCGATGCAGCCTGCCTGTCGAAGCCCGAAGGCTTATCCATTTAGCTACACACTGTCTGGCTGTGATATCTATCAAATGCTCTGCATTTGCCAGATGCTACCGCCAGGTTTTGCCCCGTGACCTACAGCATGGATATTGGATACTGCTTCCCTCGAAAAGCAGATTGTGCTTGCGGCTCTCTTGCAGCGGGGCTTAACAAACCTTGAAAAGGAGAAAAACTTGTAAACCTCGAATTCGGTATAATAGCATACAGGCGAAACATATTGACTGCTGGTAGTAGCGTCATTCCTATGATAGACTACCAACAGCAAATGCTGGCTGGCTGACCTTTACAAACTACGAGTTATAAAACTTTTTAAAAAATCATTCCTTTTGTGCAACATCTTTTTTGTGCAATGTGTCATATAATGCTCATATGCGTATTGTGGAGAATATATCTTGTTGAGCTACTATGCTATGCTGCGTGCTACTATTCTTGTCAATCAAATGGTTTGGTGGTTTGGTTTTACGCTCAGATTTTAATATACTCCAGACAGAAATCATCTTTACGCGATCTCATGCAAAACGGTTTTTGGAGACATTTATATGATTTTAAACACATAAACAAACGCCGAGGTTAAGTGAAGTGCTGCGACGTCGCGGCAGCCTGGCCGCGACGTCGCAGCCTGGCCGCAGCAGAAGTACTGTCGCGGTGCTGTCGCGGTTATATACCGTGTCGCGGCTGTCGCGGCGTCGCGGTAATACAGCCTGGCCGCAGCAGAAGTACTGTCGCGGTGCTGTCGCGGTTATATACCGTGTCGCGGCTGTCGCGACGTCGCGGCAATACATCCTGGCCGCCGCACAAGTACTGTCGCGGTGCTGTCGCGGTTATATACCGTGTCGCGGCTGTCGCGGCAATACAGCCTGGCCGCAGCAGAAGTACTGTCGCGGTGCTGTCGCGGTTATATACCGTGTCGCGGCCGTCGCGGCGTCGCGGCAATACAGCCTGGCCGCTGCACAAGTACTGTCGCGGTGCTGTCGCGGTTATATACCGTGTCGCGGCTGTCGCGGCGTCGCGGCAATACAGCCTGGCCGCAGCACAAGTACTGCCGCGGTTATATACCGTGTCGCGGCGCTGTTGCGATGGCTGGCAAGTTTGGTCCGCGACGCGACAGTGACGGCATAGCTCAAGTTTGGTACAGATTGAGCCACTTCTGATAAAATTAGAATGTTCATAATTTTGCTTCCTTAAGTATCATCTACAAAATCATACGCAAGTGTTCGTTGTACATTTGTTAATTACTTGGTACGACTGATAATAGAGATCGGAAATGTTCCGTTGCGGTCGAGACGTTCTATCAAACTCCAAGGAGTTAACTTTTTTCGCAGTGCGACAAAAAGTTAACTAAAGACAGCGGCTACCGGTTTGCCTGCAAAGCCCTAGAGAAAAATGCCGGTGGGCGTAGACGCGTAGTACTCTGAAATAATGTCATCCGGTAACCGCCATCCTTACAAAAGATGGAATCATGCAATATCACTGTGAATATGGCACGTAACAAACGCCCTAAAGATGACTGGACGGCAGGTCTTGAAATCAGTACAAACATTATTTTGCTATTTATTTATGCCACGCGCAGTGCAAAGATAACAGTTAAGCCGTAGTATGCTTGATGAAGCTTGGGTATAACGAATGTGCCCGGCAAAACGAAAGCGGTCATTGTCTGACATTGGTTAGGCCGTTAGGACTTTGTTAGCGCAATCATCTCAAATGCTCATTTCACTCAGTTTCCTGGATGTAGGCAAATCAGTGGGCCGGAAATCTAGCTTTGGCACTCGCTTTATTTTACCGAAAGCTCTGCAGCAGAAACAATGCTACCCATAGGTGCGCCAAGGACGACGAGACTACGCTTTCATCAATTTTCGTGATTAAAAATCTCTTCGTAGTTAAAAATCTCTACCTCTTGAAGAAATGGAAAGTAATTGCCTTAATATAATATGCACAATGTGTCCCGCGTTGGTGGATAGCGTCTGCATTTCATTCTGGTAACATCTATTTTTCACCAACCTTATGCTCTTCCAGTCAAAACCGGTCGTGACTATTTCTCTTAATCCTTTTTAGTCTTGTCCAGGTTAATAAAAACAATGTCCCTAATCACAGTGTGCTTCCTGTTGATATTCAGCGCTGAACCTATATTTTCCATGCTGAACATAAGTTTTGTGGCAGTTGGACGGATAGCACCGCTGACTACATTGGTAGCACTGCCTTATACTGGCCCACCGTTGTCGGTTGGCACCGAATACGTTCAGCAAAAATACGCCGGCACCATGAACTTTACGTTAAACATCCTGTTTGAACCGCTGCGTCCCGGCCAGACACCGCCAGAAATAGCCGATCATGCTGTACGATTGGCTGCCGAATGGCATTACACGAAACGGAAGGAGAGCGACATTACTATCTATCTCATTTCTAGTAGGTACAAAACTTGTAAACTTAATTCGGAATAAGATACCTTACGTACAATATCACTGTAGCATTTGTTTTTTAAATTAATGGATAATTCCGTTTAAAATCCAAAGCGGTTGAAATGTTGCCAAATCGGTTCATCATGTTTACGAATTCAAATCTGTACCTAAACGGCTACACTAAAGCGATTCAGAAACTGGAAGCGCTCAGTTAGCAATTTGAGAAGGTCTAGCGTAGGATGTTGATACTTCGGATTTTTTCAACAACAACCGATCATTTTCACAACATGCTTTGAAAGTGGAGCAGACGATCGCCCACGTCGCGGGAGCACAATTCCTCTGGTAACGCAGCACATGAGGGTTCGCCGCTGCCAGTTAAACCATGTCATGCCATCGAAAGTGCAACATGTATTTACCGCACTTAGTAACCGGACGGACCAACGACCGGCCATTCAGAATAAAATCGTAAAAATGATTGGTTGACCAGAAAACTCTAGTATCGCAATGAACAGAATAACAGAACACGTGAAAACACAAAAAGGTTTAGGCGCGGGCGCATTTCTCGACGGCAGAATTAGTATAATGAGATAATTAGCACTAACGGTGGATACGTTCGTGATGTTCCAACTTTGACTTAAACGTGAAAGAGTAAAAAGGAGAGAGAGACTGAAAATTGTTACCCAGTCGTAAACACAGTGTTTCAACATTGTAGGCGGGGTAGAGTTAGCTACGGAAATCCCCCATTTTATGCGATATTGGAACACCTTATGGATTTCCGCGTAAGCAGCATCCGCAGTCCGCATGATCATCCTAATGCTGGTAACCCGAATCTAAAATATTTTACAGGCTGTCGGCCACCTCGCAAATCAGAGACCGTGTGATGAATTCCACATGGATCGCCATTAACGACTTTTCAACCGCGCAGTGTGCTCAGCTGTACATGGAAATACTGACAAAGTTGCGCTGGACTACGGTATACCTGATTGTCGACCCGGGAAATCCCAGCGTGTACGGGGTTGTGGCTGGAATGCTCTTAAAGGAAATGGGCAAACAGTCGAGTATCCGCCACTACGTGCGGTGGATATCGACGAAAGGCGCCGGTGTAGGTTACGGAGACTTTTGGTCGATTCTCATGGACATTGCTGCAGTCAGTCGCGGTGCGTGGTATCTGTAACACCCTTTAATGGTTTACTTGAGTTATTTACGTTACTGTGTTATAGTCGTTTTATTCTTCGGCCATGCCATATTTCTACGGGAGCTTCTGG